GGCCCTGCCCTGCCCTGCCCTGTCTCCCCCCCGCTCCTTTCCTCTGCCCAAAGAGGCTGCGGCCTTGTCGTTCACTGCTCTGTGTGCTGGCTGCATGCAGAGTTCCACAAGAGTTCGTTCCAGCTGCTGTTCTGCCTCTTGCTGCCTGATACAAAATCCCTCGGGGTGCATGGAAAGCTTTTTGTTCTAGATTCAAACTGGCCCAAGACAAGTATCTATCCCAGCAGAGATGGCAAAAAAAAAAACAACAAAAACCCAAACATGTCACACCTATCTGTCATAAGTCTGTCAAGACCTAGTTAGTATTTTTCTGGAGTTCTTTGGGCTTTTTTGCTTTGTTTTCTCTAGAGTTAGATCTGTCATCCCCCCTAACCTTGTTCTGAAAACTACAGTAAGAACTGAATGTTAACGTCATCAGTTCTCAGTTATGTAAAAAGTATCCTAAGTGTTGGTTAAGGCTAATAACCCAACTAAAGCAAAGTTAACTATTTTTATCTCAGAGCTTTCATAAAGACTTTCACTGAAGTAAGGATTTAACATTTGCTGCTACTGTGGAATGACCTGGGGGAGGGGGAAACGTTTGAAAGTGCCTGGGCCAATTGTCTGAGCTGTGACCTTTGGAAGATCAGCCGCTCACAGAAAAACTTGCTACAGCAAACCTGTAAGTTTGGTTTAAGGATCTTCTGGCTATTGCTAAGCTAAGGTTTACCACCTGTAGAAGGAGCAAGGCCAGAACGGGAAGAGCTGAGCAGAAGCACTGGTTGTGGGTTCCTACCTCTCGCAGCCGCACAGCATCCTCACCTCCTGTGCCAGTGGCAGTTCTTAAGGTCACACACAATACTAAGTTTAGGAAGTGAAGGAGAAAAGAAACAGTGCCTCACTTTAATCTTTTCATCAACATGTATGCTTTGTAAATCACCTCGTCTCTTTCCAGGTCAATAGTAATTGGTCAAGACAAATGATTCAGGCATCAATACTTTGAGGGTTAACTTCAGTCAAACCAGCCACTTAAGCCTCTGAGCAAACAGGAGTTTGAAGTTGGAAGGAAAACAGAGACTTCACAAAATCCAACTCTTCAGGTGCTCCCAGCTGAGTATTAACAGATGTATTATTATTGTGTGGGAAATTTAACAAAGCCAGTTTATATCATTATTGCAAATCTTGGTACCACGCACACATGCCTGGGATGCTGGCTCCTTAATGCCACCTATTTAGAGCTGGCTTCAAAATTTTATTTCAGAACAAAGCATCATCAGGTCAAGAATGGGAGGCATATGCATATTGGTACCACATCAGTTGTGTTATCTTTAACTTATAACATTGCTAGTTATCTGTTAGTATGGAAATGTTAACCTTAGTGGACTGCTAAGCAGCCATTCCCATTAGGAAAGCTGCAAAACTGCTGGCCAGGGATATGAAAACCTTCTTGACAATTGAGTTTTCAAGATGTCAGTTACCTAACCAACACTCTGCAACGACCATGTACTATTTCTTAAGAGGTTCCAAAGACAAAACATCTCCTGATGTTTCTAGTGCTTTATTGACTTGTTGGACAGAAACATATTTATTGAAATTATGCCCTAGAACAGTGACTTGGGGGTGAGAAAAGAGGAAACACTGAATTTTGATAAATCACCACCATATTTCATAGTCTCCAGAAGAAACTGAAAAGGTTATCTGGACAGGACTTCAACCTTCTATTTTCCTATTACTTTCTTTCTGAATTTATCAGTACTCTGCCAGCAAAGTTCATTTGGGTTTTGTGAAATCTTATAATTTAATAACTGAGAAAGGAGCACATTTCACGTGGCTGGAATGTGATTCACTAGCCAGTAGTTGATAGCAACAGTGCTACCAGAATTTTAAAAAAGTCTACATACATGAGAAAGATGTGACAGAACACTCATAGAAATGAAACAAAAGCTTGGAGAAAAAATTATAGAATCCAGGTCATCATGTTCTGTTTTGGTTTTCCCACTGTGTAATGAGTGGAACACAAGGGGGGAGGGAGGAGAGGTGGATACCTGAAGCAACCATTGAGAGAAAAGCAAGAAAGTTATACTAACGAAATCCAGACCAGCCACACTAACATTGGGAAATACTGAAGCAACCCACAGATGATTTTTCAATGTAAAATCAATAGTTTATTGCCATGCTACAATTTATTATTTTTTTTCCAAATGAAGTTGGCACAGGTGAAGGGGGAAATGTTGTCATAATACATAATACATTTTTAAAATGCACATTTGGTAAGCTTTCTCAGTAATGACAGCTTAAAACAAGATTTTGTTGTTGGTTGTTTTGGTTTTTTTTAAGATTAACATGGAATGGCATAAAAATCCGCTCTTTCTGCATAGTATAGTATCACTTTTTTCATACAAGAAATATGGAATGTTTGTAAAAACAAATTCATTGAACAGGGCAAATTATTTGAAATTTTATAAACAATTTGGCAATGGTACTCCCACTGTTTAGACTTTTTATATAAAAGAAATAAAAATCTAGAAAGCTACCTTTATACAAAGTTGCTATATTTATGCCTTTAAGTAGGAAAAAACATTTCATAATGCAAATTAGGACATACAATAATCTTACAATATTGTACAACATAATGACAAGAAAAGAACATACAACATAAGGTTTTGGCCTTTGTAGAAATGTCTATTTCTGCATTTAATAAATGCATTTGTGGCACACTGGTGACTACTGAATTCTTACTGCTGCCAGCCAGCTTTCACACTGGATGGGTACTAGGCTGCACTGTGACAGCAGGTCTGCAGTTCAGTTAAAAGACAGACTGGTTTTCAGGAGACAAAAGGTGAAGCTGCAAGGAAGCGGGATATGAAAAAGGCAATGTGCCCGCTGGTTGGGGCACCTGGACTGTGGGACACCATACAACACTCTCCTGTCCTAGCAGGGCATCTCCTATACATTCAGTTCTGAAGTACCAAAGTCTTACAAATGAGAACATCTGTGCTGGAGATTTGGCAACATTTCAGGGAAAATACAAAGTTAGTACCAAATATATAATATATTATATATAAAATGTGGGTGTATGATATATACACGCATATTCTAATGCAAAAAAACTGCATTAATATGGAGTTAAATTTGCTGACATCCATTCCTAAATAACATAACCATTAAAAAACAGGTGTAATCCTGATCTTTCACACACTTCAGAATCACTTCCTCTTTCATACATAATAAAGCAATATATATGCAAGTATGACTAAGAAATCAAAATTCACATAATATTCTGAACTCTGACCACAACAAATAGGATTATTTTTTTTTTCAGTACATGTAATTAAATATATTTATATTTTTACAGTATTTTTAGACCATTCCTGAAGAACTTGACCAACCAGCTCCTCAGGTGTAACAGAGCTGTTACATCAGCAGAACTTGATCTTGTAGGAACACATCCAGTGTCCCTTGAGGCCAACGCAAACCATTTGTTTGGCTTCAAAAGACGCTATATGAGGCCCAAACAAGCTCCGGAAGGATAACCCTGCTAACAAGGAAGATTCCCTGATGACATCAAAGCTCCTAATTCAGACTTCCTTTCCTACTGTCCAAGGAAAGGACTGGACCAAAAGACACATGGACTCTGGGTTGCTGGCAGGTGGCATTGGGGATGCCCATGCTGGCAAGGCCAGCCTGAGGACACCTTCTGTTCCAAGGCTTCCCCTGCAGAGCAGAGGAGCTGCCCCTCCACACTCATTGCTGGGCCATTCGCTCGCCCCAGGGGACCCCAGGGCATCCTGTACTTTGCAAACACAGAGGAAGACGGGCCCTGTTCTGAAGGGCTCAAGCCTATTTCTTAAGCATATTTTTAGCATAATCTCCTTTGTATATACACATTTTTGCTACATAAAATAGAATTACACCAAAGTAATGGGTATAGCAGAAAATGTTGTCACAATATATGTATATTACTGCACTAAATAATTAACTAAAACTGCAAGAAAAATTTTGAAATGCCCTTTGTAATATATAAAAAAATATAGAAATGTCCGACACTTGTTTCATCAACTTTTAAAGTAACTTTATCTCTTGCATTCTATCTGTACACCTACACATTTCCAAACAAAATACTGCGTTAATCTGGAGTAAACACTGTGTTAGAACAATATCCTCATAAGACATTTGACATACTTTGCCACATACCTTACAGCACAGTATCACAAGAAATAATGTACACACGGTCAGAGTTACAGCTGCTAAGTTGTTGGGTTTTTTTCTTATTCACTTATGTTATCCAAAAGAGCAAGTAATTCCTAAAGCTTGCAAAAGAACCTTAACTCAAGACTTCCTTTATTTTTTGTGTATGCTCTGTAAGAAGGACATCAGCAACCTTGACTCCATCTTAACGCAGTTTTTTGTGGATTTTTTTTTTTTTGTTTTGGAGTGTATATGAATTTAAAATAAAGATATCATAAATGAACTTATGTTTATATTAAGTAAATACTGTCAAATATAAATGCCTGAATTGCTACCTCAAGGAAAAGATGGGAAAGGTCTTATAATTAAATTCAAAATAATACCTAATTCTATCAAACTGAAGAATCCAACTTCTTTAGGGGAAATAGGAGAATTTCAGAATTAAGTCCACTATTAGTTCCTACTAAATCAGCTTCATCTTATTTGCAGCCATTAAATAAATTAGTACAGTGCAGAAACAGAATTTCACCATTGATCCCACCTTACATGAAGAGGAAAATACTGCTTAGAAATAGAGGTCCAGATCAGATACATCATTATACGCTCAAAGTAGTAACTGATATTAATCACAACTTGCATTTTCACTTCACTGACAGTGAGCGCTCTCTCCTGACTCTGTCTCATCTACAAGTGGTCAAATATAAACCAAAAACAAGGATAGCCAGATTTTGAACCAATATACGCTGTTAAAAACAACCAGCAAAATCAACTGCTGGTCTGCCACCTGCAAAAGAGCAGCCCTGTTTTGACATAGGTTTGGACTTCATACAGCTTATACCCTTCTGGGGCCCTTTTTACACCCAAGCCCTAGCCAGAGGTGTAAGCACACGTACAAATACCCAAACATCTGGGAAATCGAGCAGATTATGATATGAAATGTCTATCTGAAAACTTAAGATTTCTATAAAAGTTCCATAGATTTTAATAGGAACAAGAGCAGTGCTTCAATGCACTTGATTACATTCAACTCCTGTCATAAGTAAAACGTACTTACCAGGGGAAACAAAAAATGTTCTAATTAGAGAATTAAGCTTGTCGGAAGGGTCTTTTTTGTGTTGTTTTATGAAGTCACCAGGAAACACCACAAAATTAAAAGAAATTGGTCCTCCTCTTGACATCAATTTGAGAAAAACAACGTTTTGCTGATATAAACAATGGATTCAATTTTCAAGAACTCTAATTCTAGTACAACCTTTATTATGTACTTTTGGTCACCATTCCATCTTTTTTATCAACTCAGTTTCCTTGTTCAAAAGATACACTAATGTATGTCTTTCCCAAATCATTGTGTTAAAGAAATATCTACAGTTCAAGGCTTTCCCTTGTCAAATGTGCTTGAAGTGTAACAGCCAATTGCATGTTATGAATTAAAAGTAGAACTCACTGAATGCTGCCATTTTTGCAGGACCTAGTTTATGTAAACTTCACATCTCAAATAAAGAAAATGGTTACATATTTGTAGTTTCTTATTCTGTACACCTGTGGGCTCAAAATAAATACAATATAAATGTTGTAGAGACATTTCAGCTGAAAACTGAATCCTAGATTACAGACATTAAACCTAACATCACAGCCTTTAAAGAGACTGAATTGGAAAAATATTTACCAAGTCTCAAAGGGTAAAGTGCATTGCAACTACATCTACTTCAAGGGGCAGACAATAAGGAATGCTATAGATGAGTAGCATGTGTAACAGGGCTTACCCAGTATGTTTGCAGCATACACAAAACGAGAAAGCATTATCCCACCTGTAAAGTGTAAAAAAGGAATAGCTCTGGAAAATATGTCATCAGACTTGTTAATATAATTAAGGCTACAGAAAGTTGAAATAATCTCAATATATGTTTTAAATTCTGGGGACCAAAGCTAAGAAAACACCCTTATGAAGTACTGTGAAACTTGCAAGAACATAAAAAAATTACTCAGACTACGCCTTGTATCTGAGACTATTCAGGATAAACACATAGGACAGTGCACTGGAACTAAGGAGAGATAGGGCTGGTTCTAATTTTGGCAGGTCACTTAGAATCTACCTGAAGCCTCCATTTCCCTATTTGTCAATTAAGACTATTACTTCCCTGTCTCACAGGTGTAAGGGTCCAATCAATTAGTATTTCTGAAACACCCATACTCTACAGATGAGGACCAAATATTTCTAGGCAGCTATCTAGATCAAACACATTTGCCTCAAAACACATGCTGAAGGCATTAGTTCAGTTCACAAATTTAAATGAGCTATAAGCTAAGAACAAGAATCACACCATTACCATGAACCCAGTAAGAATTTGCAATACCTGGCAGTTTCTCTTCAATACAGACCAAGACTGGTCCACAAGGGTAAGGTGAGGCAATAGCAAAGATGTGAAGGAACACTAACACTGCAGACCTGTAAAATGTCTAGCTCTAGACAGTCATTACCTTCATGAGTACCATGGTTTCCCCACAAGTCAACGGGTCTATCACAAGAGTATGCATAGGTTGACAGTGAAATCATTAATGAGTTTTCTTTCTAGGATCCTCATAATGGTCTCAATTACTCCCATGTTTTACTCCTGCAAATGATGTTCTTTGTGCATCTGGTATTTCAGTACCACACAGTCTGAAATGAAAGTCAGAGTGAAAAGGTTGCCTGATATCCCTTACTGCAAGATGCATGTATTTCAGGTGTTACCACTATGGAACTGTGAAATGACCCATGAAGAAGTTAACATAGAAACAGGAACACACTCCAATTTAAAAGACTGAGAATAACTGTAGTTTGTTTTTTATAAAACTTCAAATATTGCATGAAGACCCTAATTCTTTTTCAGATCTCCAAATGGCTTTTCTTGCATGTTTTTCTCACTCACAGTTCAAAGGTTATTTTACATCAAACCAGCTCACACAAGTGTCAGTTCCTTTGCAATCACAGGCTCAAGAGTAATCTCTTCTTCTGCTAGTACCAAGGTGCACTTGCAATACTGCCAGAATTCTAAAATTATTCTGAATATTTAAAAAAACAACAAAAAAATACCCAAAACCAAAACAAAAAAAACCCCCAAACTTCTGCCAAGGGTGCATCTGGCATATTCAACAAACAACATTTTGCCTGCATGTACCTATAACACTGAGCAGCCATCATTGTAACCAAGTTCACCAACTGCAAAAAGAAAAGAAGTCTGCCTGTAGATAACACTAGCTTCAGATAATTTACTACATCTCTTTCTAAATTATCCTATCCACTATGGATGCACATTGCTAGAATGTACAATTTTCTATAAAGAACCAGTACCCTGCCTCTCGTGTAACCTGTGTCTGATGCTTTAGAGGAAGACAATAACTGCAGAATAAACCTTTCCAGTTGTGCAATAATGCATGCTGCTGGAGAGCTGGGATATTTCTGTCAGGCATAAAAAAGTAGAACACTGGACAAGCATTTGACCTTCAGGAGTCTTGTCAAATGCAGAGAGTAAGACAAACACATAAATGACCCTGAACAATAATTAAAGCTATGTACAAAATTCTGACTTTTAAAACAAGACATTATGGAACAGATAAAAAAGAAACACACGAATGCAAAGAAAGGAAGGCACACTGAACTAAGAAATTACAAGAGAGCCTTAATTCATACAGCCAACCTGTGAATTCCTTCACAAAAAAACCCTCCACAACTCTAATGAGATTAAAATTCTGTCAGGTTTCACAGGGAATTGATACACCACTTGGAATTCATTTCCAGTGGAAGCAGCTTAAGGCTGGGTTTTGATGTGTTTATAGCTCTGATAACAAACTTCGATGTGACCTCTTAAACATCACACAAGTTAAGAAAACTATTAGGAATTAAAGGCCTTCTTGCCCATGTGGTCCTAAAAAAAACCCAAACAGACAAAAAAAGGTGTGGTGTTTATATCTTTTGAGATGAACCAAGATATCTTGTGTATGTCAAACTGAGTGAATTAATGCATTACATACATTTCATTCTGGAGGAGCCACTTCAACGAGGAATAAACATAACATAGGTATCTTGAAAGATTAGGTTTACCTGCTAATAATGCACATATCAAGAGGCTTTTAAAAGTGTTATAAATGCCATCAATAAGTATAGGCACCAGACCAGAATATTTATAAATTCAACACTGGCATATCACTCAGACTCTAATCAATTTAAAGAGGCACTGTGAAAGGTGATGATGCTGCTATGCAGTAATGACTACTACTGTAGAATGAAAGTGTTACCTAAATGAATACTTGCTCTACATTAATTCCCTTTAGTTAGACAAGTACATGAAGTATGCAGAAAAAATTCTATTAGTCTATAAAAGGCGTTAGTGTTAAGAAATGCAAGGTATTTGCATCTTCAATTTTATAAACTTCACAAAAGGTGCAAATGATTTCATGCTTCCCAGGCTCACATAGGCACGTCTGTACTGTTATGTCTAGTTTTCCTAGAAGTACCATCATCTCGGGGCAGTGCTTTTTGCAAACTTGACATAGCAGCAGTTCTTTCGATGTCTATCACAGCATACAGCTCTGTGCGCCTGGTTGGAGTTTGCGGAAGTGGAGTGGTGGGGGTTTTTGGAGTCTGAGGGTTGTCGGAGTCACTACCACCTTCCAAGTCAACCTGTATATAGTTGAGCTGCCTGTGTTCTAAACTTGGACGCCTAATGTCAAAGTTAAAGACTGTTGGGGTACAGTCCCGACGTCGTGTAAATTCTACTTTATGAGCACTTGCTGGTACCGTTACATTCTCTGTATTGACATAATTATGCATTGGATCTAGGTTATTGTGGTAGCCATTCAGAGATGGGGTCTTTGGTCCTAAACTGTCATCTTCATCTCTACTCAGCTTGTGGGCTTCCCAAACAGGAGGCAAGGATGGCAAGTTCTCATAGTTCAACAGCGCAGTTCTCCTCTGAGCAGAGTTGTTAATGTTCTGGGTATCTGAGGTACTGATTGATGTCAAACGACCTCTCCTGACCCCTGAGGCACTAGGGATTGATAACCTATTTATATTTTCATACACCAATTTATTACCAGATGGTGTTTCTCTACGTTCATCACTGTCGTACCCAGTGTCCCATTCAGTGTTGTTTGTGCTGCTGCCGCTAACTTGGTCTCTCCCAAGTTGCTCCAGTTTCTCTCTTTCCATTAACTGCCTTTGAACAGGTGTTGGTCCTAAAACAAACTTGACTCCTTCAGGCTCCAGGAGAACCTGAGCATCTCTGTCATCAGTACACATCTGATCTTCTTTCACTTTAGTTGTTTCAGTGTTTGAAAGCTTTGATTCCAGTGGCACATGCACACTTGATCGATTTTTTCTTTCCTCTTGTACTCCAGTAGTGTTGACGTAAGTATGCACCTAAAAGGGGGAAAAAATAAAGGTAAATTCAAATGTTTTTTGCACTTTTTTCCCCCTTCTAAATTTCTTTCTTAACTCCTCATGTTTTAAAACTCAAAATACCTGAAAACCCAATCTCATTATAGCAGCTGTTTAAGAGCAAAGGTAATCTCTTTCACATTTTCCTGAACTGTGCTCAGTTTTGGTTGTTTTCACTGTAATTGTTGTTGGTTTTATTAACATTAAATAAAATTAGAGGTAGTCAAGGCAGACAAAATAATGCAATTTACATCCTACATTTATAATTGTTTGGATTTGATGTTTTATTCCTAGTTGTGCTCTAGTTACAGCTTTTCATGTTCTATTCCAGCTCTGCTCTGGTCAGGGCAGCCCCAGGCTGCTCCAACTTAGTTCATTAGTTCACTTGGACAAATGAGCAAAGCAGAGCTCTCCTGTGTCGTCCCTTACCATGATAGTGACCTACAGTTCAACTGTTGCTTTGGCTAAATTTATCTTTTATTTCCACACTGAAAAGGAAATTTACAAAACAACAACAAAAGCCCCTCCCCAGGATCTCGCCTTGTGTACTACTTGAGCAAAAAGAGGAAAGGTTGGCTCTACTGGCAGAACACTCCATTCTTTCTTCAAAAGCCAAGAGCCTCCTATTATCAGAAACTGAAACAGACAAACATACACTTCCATAAGAATTCTGGCACTCAGAATTAAAAAGGAGCAAGAGTTAGACCAGATGCCACAAATAAAGGCAGGAATACACCACTAGTTTATGCCTCTGAGTCCCCACAGTGGATCAACACGAAGCTGAAAGGTAAAGACTGAAGTAATGGGTTCTTTCTCCGGATTTTAATTCTGTGTCTGGATATCCAAATGGCAAAATAAGTGTTTTATGGCAGCAGTCATCTGGGCTTCCCAATTTCTCTGTCAAGCTCTACAAACCAAAGTGTCATTTAATCTCACTTGACTCCTACATTGATTCTTTAAACTCATTTACTCTTCAGTAACTCCAAAAGCATCTCTTGGACTCTTCTGTGGGCACTCCAACTGAATCCTTTCCCCCAAGACAGCTAACTGCACTTTGCTCCAGTTACTTTCTCTGATTTCCAAGACTGTATCTTGCCAAATACAAGAGTCCTCCTAAACCACATTACATTCCATTAAACTTGGCTAATATTTTCATCAACAATCTGAATTATGAGATAGAACACACCCTCAGAAAGCTTTCAGTCTATCCCAAATCAGTAGGGTTTCCCCTGAGGCATCTCAGCAGCCTGGAGAAGTGACCTCACAGAAACCTCATGCAGTTCAGCAACAGCAAATGCAAAGTCAAGAGCCTGGCATGCAAAAACAGCCAGACTAGACACCAACTGACTTGATAGCAGCTTTGCAGAAAAGCATCAGGGTTCCAGGTGGATGGTGAATTGAATGTGAGTCAGCAGTGTATCCTTACAGCAATAAAAACCAAATGTGCATTGCTTTGTGTTTGAAGACAGACACCACTACTGTGGAGCAATCCAGTGGAGGGCGATGATTAGAGGGTCTGAAGCATGTGACATACAAGAAGCCAAGAGAGCCATCCTTGTTTAGTCTTAAAAGAAGGCCAGGAAAAAACCTAATAGCTTTTTTTAGCTATCTGGTAAGATACAGAAAAGACAGCACCAGACAATTTTAAGGTATGTTCAGCAAAAGGCTAAGGGGCAACAGACATCAGCTTAACAGGAAAAAATCTGATTATGTGTTAGGGAAGAATGCTTTGACAAGGGTAGTCCAGCACTGGAACACATGGCTCAGAGACACTATGGAATCCCCTTGTTTGGAGTATTCAACACATGATAGGACTAGGCTCTGTGCAGCCTCCTCTAACTTTAGAATTTGGCCTGGAGTACTCTAGACGTCTCTTTTAACCAAAATTACTCCATTATTCCTACTCCCCAGATAGAAGTCTTACATGTAAAGACACTTTTTCAATAGGATATCTCATTATAAAATACAATTTATCAGTCTAAAAACAATTCTTGAAACTAGTCAGCTATGCTACAAAGTATCATTTTAAAGAGGCAAAGCAAATGCCTCTCTGAGGTAGTTAATATATAGGTAGGAACACATTACAGTTGATACTGAAAACCAAAAATGAATTCCTATAGAATAAACACTAGAAAAATATGAACTAATGTAGAACCTAAATGATCTGAGGGGGAAAAATACCCACTTGCTCCTCTGCTACAAGTAACGGATGTGTTGATTCTTCACCGACAGAGGGGAGGCGTGCACTTCCGACAGAAGGATGTCTGCTGGAAGGATGTGATGAAGCATCTCCAAAAGATGGATATCTGGGATAGCCATTAGGTAAACTTTGTGCGTTGAACCCAGGAGCTGATTCGATTAGAAAACAAGCAAAACCATATTAAAATAGAGCATTATACTGTATATGAGTAAGATGCTTCGTATCTTTGTTTTTGATTTTCAAAAGAGAAATTAAAATAGTAAAACAGTGTTAAATATTCATGACGCTCAATTTTGCTGGGGGGAAGAAAAGGGAAAACAAATTGCAAAGTATAGCATCACAATATTTACCGAGAAACATGTCTGAAGCAACCACTGAGATCTAGGTATATTACACACCACAGTCATCCCAGTAAATTCCCTCTCCAACTTCTCTTTATACAATTAACGTCTCCCTAACAGGGACTTATTTACTTAAGCTTCCATTTCTCTGAAATAATCACTAACCTGGAATTCCTAGTTTGAAATATCAAGCCTTAAAAACCCTCTGGCTTAAATATCTGCTTTAAAACCCTCCAGTCTTTTTTAAAAGACTTCATTCTATCCATCCATCCATCTACTCGCAGCAGGAGAGATTCTAAACCCACTATAGATGTGGTATTCCTATTACTTCGTTTTCTCAGAAAAAGGTTGGAACGCTGCCCAACATAAACATTTCTCAGAAATGCTACAATACAGCAATATATTATAAAGCAATTCAATATAAAGCAGTGTTCTTATGCAACAACTAAGTTCCTAAAATTTATTTCTGAAAGCGGAAGAACTTGACTGTGGCAGTTTTGCTCCCAAGACTTAAGATTCTCAAAAGAGAATCCTCAGCTAGTTCCTCAAGAGAATGCATTACTGGTAATTAGCCTCTTAGCTGAAAACAGCATTTAATTTACATTAAATCTTTAAGTAATTAAAAAGAAAACAAATGTAAAGCTAAGTACCATGTAACATTCAGGTATGTCATCTGATGGTATAACCACACTTACTGGTAGGCGTTCGAGGGGTTCTTGGAGCTTCCAACTCAGTTTGATGATTATTCCTTTCTACTACTGGCTCTTCTACCACATTTATGCTATTATTCTGCATTATCTCTTGCAACATATTAAACAGCTCTTCTGCACGGGCACATTTAAAGGCAAAGATTCCTATAAATACACAATAAAAAAAATCAAAATCCTTGAGTGTAAGAAACATGCTTTGCAATGTATACAGCTTTCAAACGACAGAACTGGAATCCCCATAATGAACACCTGTGAAGGAAGCAAAATGTTAAAAAAATTTTATTGCACCAAAACACACAAAATTACTGTGGGAACCTTTAATATCTAAGAAAAGAGTAAGTTTCCCATGCACCAAAAGTTAAATTAGAACAAAAAACTGACGCAATTAAAAGCAAAACTAAGTTTTGAGTGCTAAATGAGGGGGAGGAAAAAAGGCACAAAACAGGACAATAGTTTTTCTTTTTTTTTCTTAACCTGATAAAATTATACCTGTTAAGTAAATCAATCAACGAATAAAAACACTAAATGAAACTACTGTGTTGCTACAAGTTCGTATTTTTAAAATCAGATTTCTATTGAATTACCATAAACATAAGATACCTGCACAAGAGGAAAGAAGGATTTAAACACTGGGTAAAAGTGTAGTTTCTTTAAAAAGATTAAAATGAAAAGCTAGTAAGACAAACTGTGTGATACAGACAGTAACAAACCAACTGCTTTAGGCTAAAGGAGAGACACAGAACACAAAGTCAGCATCAATACCATGTATGTCGTGTGCGTATTGTGCCACTTTGCCTTTAAACAGCAGGGAGTGCCCCAACTTACCCTCACCAGCAAAGTCGCAGCTTTGGATTATTCTTCCATTGAAAGCATAAAGTTAAAGTTGACATGCTTGTTAAACGTGGATGCAGGTGCTCATTTTTTAAAATGAGTATTACAATCTTAAAACACTCTTTAATAAAAACTACCTACCTATATAGTTAGTTCTCTAAGTGCAATTATGTTAATATATTGGCAATTCCTATCACCATATTTACTTAAGGACGCAGAACAGTGACAGATCAGAACTATCATAAATGCTCCACATGGCAGTAGTTCACAAAAACCCAGCTGGGAATATACCATATGGACTAAGAGTAATGACACTCAACAACTAGTTGGTGCTGTGAATAAGCTCCATGCTTGCAAGACAGCAGCTGTAGAGATGCTTCTACTACATGTCCTCAACCCATGATCCAGCTCAACAGACCATATTTAATTTTCTGTGTATTTCTGAAATTACACACTGGATACTTAGATCTTAATGGACAAAAAATAAAATTTAAAAAATCTAGGTTCACAAGCTTAAAGAACCTTCCTGCATGTTTCTAAGAAATTCAGTTGCCTCTTTGTGTAAAAAAACATGCTTCCAAATTGCTGATTCCTTAACCTATGAAGTGAACCAAATTGGCACTGACACTGCAAGCAAAAACAACTTGACAAAGCTTTTATTTTTATTAAATAAATTAAAAATAAATGCCATGTGATCTGTCATTTACACAAAACAGCGACACACAAGCTCCTCCAGGTTTTCTATCCTGAAGTACCTATTAGCTGTGCTCCCAAAACATGTATTCAACATTTGTTAACACCTAGCACAAACTCAACGTTTCACCATCAGAGCATTCTGACAACTCATCAATAGATACAATTTGAGATAAAATGGAAAATGCAAACAAGAATATTGACTAAGGCAATCAGTAAAAGTTGCTGGGCAGTATTCAGGGTATTCTTAACAAAAAACTTCTTGGTCATCTCCTGAAGTGAGGATGGAATTTTGCAACTGTGCCCATAAAATCAAGTGTAGGTGTCAGGAACAATGCTCCTCTGCAAAAAGGCAGCAGAGAACATTTTCTGCCAGATTTCCTTTTTCTCAATAATCACAGTATTTTAATATTACGTAAGGAAGGCAAGAAACAAAAGAAGGAGGAAATGGTTGCTGCTTACACAGTCTGCTTAATCTTTTCTATTAAAAAAATAAAAAATTAAAGGATTTAGAAGCAAAGCAGAGAAGTCAATTAGACTCAGTGGAAAATTTCTGCAGACTTGCTAATAGGCCATGGAAAAGAACCTTCAAAATAGTATTTTTTATTTCATTTTATTAGTATCTATTTTACATGTTTAGAAGAAGCAGTAAATTAATCCTGAAAAATCAATTCAAGTAATTTTCTCCAAAACAAAGTTTATTTCTTTCTTCTTAGAAGCCTGAAAATTTAGTTTAAGATGGGGTATACTGTAAACATCTCTGTTTCTCATAAGGAGATTAACTGAGAATGCCTTGAAAAATCATATAAAAAATAACCTCTCTGCCTTTACCTCTGCCTGGACAATGAAGATTGACCAGCTTTGTTTACAATCAAGTATTTAATCTTCCTGATTTTTTACAGTGATTTTTTTTTTTTTAATGACAATTGGTAAAATCATTATTAGGTAAAAACATTAGTAAATGCTGCAAACCTGTGAGAAAATTAAAATGCAACTTAATTTCACCATGCATGAATACATAAGAATTCTAATGACACACAGCTTCATCACAGTAGACAGACCCAAAACGAGGCCGAGACCTCAACCAAAACAGCAATTCCCTTGGGAACTGCTGCTATGTAGAAAGAGAAAAAAGCCTACATCTTCTCTACATCATCCCTGGGAACCAACCTTGGCCAAGGCAGGCATGATCTGGAAACTGGAAAGGTAACCATCTTTTTCCAATTAATGCTACAAAGAAAATAACTGAGCACAGCTGGAATTTACACACCTCATACAAAAATATGTCAAAATTTGAGAATTATGTCATTGATATAAATGAAAATGGTATTTGTTTTAGAAGTGGATGAAACACAACTGTGTTACTTAAGACAATAATAGGGTAGGGATATCCAGTTCATACCAGTGCTTCTGTCTCTTAAAATCTAAACATCAGGAATTCTTACAATTCTGAGGAGAATCATCCACAGTTCCAAGTTTCACCGCCCCTCCCTGAAAGTCAAATCAACCTCTGAGGTAGGAGTATTTCCCTGTCAAATCACCTCTTAGGTTGACCAGAAGTTTCCACACATATCAGCATGAAGTGCTCCAGACCTACAGCAACTCAAATCCACAGTTTACCATAAGAACATTCCTCTTAAGTTACCTTACTTTTTTCAAGAAACCACATTCACATGTAAACTATTGCCTTTATAACCCTTGCGAAAGGTCAAGCAAACATCATTTTTTTAAAACAAAATTGTCTTCTAACATCAAATAAATTTCAAAAAAGCTTTATACACAAAAATTCCACATACCTTGTCCAGTTTGACACCTTCTGCCACTTTCAAAAGAGAAAAGATTTGAGTCATAGCCATAGCGACGGAGACAGAGGTAGTGCCATTTTACAGAGTCCCTTTTACGTGTGTACAAAATTAATTCTGTGTCTGTAAGTTCCATTATGCCAGAACCCAGTTCATTACCATCATCATCCACATTAATAACCTATAAAAAGGAAATTAAATAGCATTAAGTACTCTTTTGAGCACCAGTACCACTACTAATAATGTATCACTGATGCGCTCTACCTGCTCTGTCATATTAGTTACAACCTCTGAGGTGAAAGTTTAAAAAACCACATCTCACCGAACCAGTTCCTTTACTAAACCAACCCAGAATTAAAATAATACACATTTTAAAACCATATGAATGAGACTGCATAACATTATTGTAAAATGTGAGGAGAAATTGGAAATAGAAGAGATGCATAAGTTAAACATTTTTTTTTTAAAACCTGGCTTGATGTACCTATTCTAGTATTTCCACACAGATAAGGAATACCCCAGATAATGGAATCTTTCAGAGCCTCCTTTTTAAAAAATATATCGATATCTTTCCTTTGTCACATAACCCCACTTACAACTGGAAAAAAGAAAGAAAAAGGATAAGGGGCTCCAAGATAAAGCTTCCTTCACATACTTGTATAGCCTTGCACTGTGCTGAATCACCAGACTGTTTTAGATTTTTTTTTCTGCCTTTTTAAAGTCAACAAATAATTCAAATAACCTGTGGCTATCTTGCGTGAAAACACGTGTGTGAAGCTTAAATTCTTACTTTTTCTGCTTTGAAACCAGTTTGAGGTCATCTGCATCCTTTATAGAATTTAGACAACATATCTTTTACTCTACACGTATTTTATTTCAGAATGCTGCTTTCAGTGCAATTCTTACTTAATAAAAAGGCTACCAAAAAAATCTTCCCTATAGTATCAATGTTATTCCTTAAAGAGACATTTCCAACTTGAAATCTAGTCAACTGAAAAGAATTAGGAATAGTTTCATCAGCTACAGAGGCTTATGCCAACTTTCTTCATTTTGCAAATTACATCCTTTCATCTTCTCCTCTCTGCTGCTAAATAAGCACCCACACACACAATAGAGAAATTCTACAAGAAGAAAAATAGGATCTAGTTATACAAAGTGATGTCAAATGTATAAAAAGCAAGAAAACAGAAAAATTATTTTACCCTTCAGCTTTTTGAACTGATAATATTAAACATTTCCAGAAATTCCCATGGCTTTAAAGCTCATTTCACTGCTGCCCTAAGGCAACGCATGAATCATTTTCACTATGAAAGCATTACATTCCTTTGCCAACTCAGTGACAGTTTGGAGCACAGAAACAAATCTGACTTGTGTGACTATGCAAAGGTATGTTTACTTAAAGTCACTTACTTCAGCAACTTCATGTTAAGCATGTTAAGCACATGAACAAGTGTTCACAAGCTTAAAAATTCCAGGGATATAAGGGACAGAAGCACATTTATAAATAAAATTTCTTCATGTAAAGGACAAAAGTTCGCAAAATGCTACAATCATTGGTGATTTTCAAGTAAAACCAGCAGTCCTAAAAATTTCCATTGCTGACCCTGCATCCAGGTACATAAGCACACTTCTCCAATAGCTCTTCCTTATGCTTACACCTCCCTTCCTAACTTCCATAACCTGCCAGAGGCAACAATGCTTACTTGGGCTCTTCCAGATAAAATGGATCAAAAAGACAAGGCTTCTTCTCCTTCCTGATGATCAAAACTGACATAAAAAAGCCTACCCTGCCTAGCAAATTCCCGTCACTGCTGGTAAGAAAGGATTTCTCAAAGGGTCAAGAGAAACCTGTAGCCACAGACACCTGCAACTCTGCAATGATTTAACCACTGACCCTACTTTCATATTTTTTTTTTCCATCATAAACCCACGTCACAAGAAAGCAACAAAATAAGTAACAGCATACCAAGGCAGCTTACCTTAAACTTGTTTCGATGGTTATCTGGGACAGTTTCTTTATCTGGACAGCTACAACAGCTACCCATGACTTCTTTAGAAGACCATGTGATCTCTAAAGGGGGGGAAAAAACAAAGAACAGAATGACCATTTAGATTAAGTAAAAATAAAGTATCATTGACAAAACAACCCAACACAAATTGCTCTCTGAAATTACAGTTCTTCATTATTAATTCTGCAGTCATATGTAATTAAAAAAAAATCAACATAAATATTACAAATTGTTTAAAATACTTAAGATTTGCCATTAAGGAGTGGCAAAACTGAGCTGCTGATGTCCTACTGATAATTCAATTTGAGGTTACTACCAAACAGACCCATTTGATTTGTCATCTTAATTCCCATGGTAGCAGCTTGAGGGAAAACAAAAAACAACTTACTGGGTGCAATTCTCATGTCTTAAACCAGAGCCTGTACACAAGGCAACTACCAGGACTCCAGCTCCCTCTAAATGAGCCCTCCCCAGCTCAGACTGCTGCACACAGCCCTAGTGACACCCATGCAAGCCCTGGGCTGTAGGAGGTTACCAGGCACAAGCAACACAAAGAGTCCACACGGCAATCCTGAGAGGCTGCCCTGGCTTGGGCAGCTCCAGGGCTGGCTCACCATAGAGGGTGGAGGTGTTCCAGGCCTGCAGGCCTGGCAGCCGTGAAGCCAGGCTCTGTGCTTCCACTTTTAAATACTTCCCATACAGCAATGTACATAAAACTATGTAATCAAAGTCAAGGGAAGGAAAAAACCTTGCATTCAATACATTTTTTAAAAAAATGTGTTTCTATTAAGTTCAGTTTGGATTAAATTGTGTTCTACAGTCTACTTCATTAGCTATAAAACAGCAAAATATTCAACTCACACAGAACAGCATGGCTAAATTAAAGAAACCAAAAATAAATATTTGGTGGTTTTAATATTTTCCTTTAAAGTTTTCTGTATATATGGTAAAACTTTCATAAAACAGTATGATAAAATGTTCATAAAACAAGTCTCACAACTTGCTTCTCCTCCTTCTACCACCTTGCAGAGAACGGCAAGTCTGGTATTTCTTAACTACAAAAAAGCCAGACAAAAATCTTAAACCATTTACATCATCTTTATATGGGCTAGAAACTAAAATTTCCGCTACACAAATGAAAAGTGGTGCAAAATCCTGGAAGAGAGTAAGCTAGCAAGGGATATGACATTAGGAATCAAGAAGGAAAACAGAACTGGTTGGTTAATTTCACCAACTAAAGGGGAAAAAAATCTGATGTCACCTTAGGAAAACTGGGACTTGTCTTCTAGACAGGCATTTGTATTAGCATGCAGCAGTAGCATCCAAGTGGCACTTTAGTCTGCTAAGAAATAAGGTGCAATGAATATAATGAAGAGCAGCTAACTCTTCCTCTCTTCTTAACCAGAAAAGCCTCTTGAGAGATACTACTACCCTAGAGAACTTACAAATTTGTACAAATATGCCACTAAACCCCTGCAGAGATGAAATGAAGAACTTAACAGAAAGAGTAACAACATGGCTTAGATTAAACCAGTAACAAAGAGACAGAACACCAGACAAGTAGTCAAAATTGTAATTTCTGGCCATAACATGAAAATGTGCATTAACTTGACAGACTCAAAATGGAACTAGGAACTTGGCTGTTTGCTTCCACTGATGAAGAGAGAAGCTATGCTACACACAACTGTGTTTTTGCATAGTGAAATCCTCAATTTTATTAATCAGTCTCAATCACAGACTACTTTTAATAGTCTTCACACATACATCCCAATGTTACTTTAACTCTTCCATTGTTTTGCTTATTAATTCTGCCTGTTTTGATTAGAAAGGCAGATACAGCTAAAAACACCTATTCCTAATTTCCTACCCTGGCACCCCACAATGCCGCATGACGGTAATGTTCAGATGTTGCTCTTGTTAATCTACTGATGCTACCCTATTTATTCTGAGAATTCATGGCTAAAAAGAGCAATGTGAAAACAAATGCAATGCAGATTAGCAATGAATATGTAAGTTTGCAATAGATTTTCAAGCCCTGGTCCATGCAGCAGCCATAGCTACAGAAGCTTCTAAGTAGCCTTCAGGCACAGATGCTTTCACTTAATAAAGCTGAGTCTTAGACTTCCCCAAATGCTTTGACAAAGTGGAAACAGAACTAGATAGCAGCATGCTATTATAGAATCATGATTTCCTTTGCACTCAACATAAAATAACAGATCAAATCTGTTGGAGGCAGGTGCCAGCAAACTTAAAAAACAGTTAAAAAAATGTTAACTGCAAAGTCGTCTCAGAAAAATCACTCGAGTTGCAAGTAGAAAGATGTAGAATATGAACTTGTATGAACTATAGCCCCTGTACGCCAAGAACAACGAAGAAAAGGCATGTAATCGTGTGCTGGGTCAGTGTGGGGCTTTGGTAGAATGGGAGAGGCAGCAGGGACGGCATCTAGAAGAAGCAGCTAGACACTTCCCCAGCTCCAAGTCAGAGCTGCCACTGGCTGAGGCCAAATTCATCAGTGATGGCAGTCACCTTTGCAAGAGGGTATGTAAGAAGGGGAAAAGATACTGCTGGAGGACCTGCTGTGGAGAAAGGGGTGGGATGGGAGAGAAACACCTCTGCAGACACCAAGGTCAGTGAAGAAGAAGGAGGGGGAAGAGGTGCTCCAGGTGCTAGAACAGAGATTCCCTGCAGCACTCAGTGAAGATCATCATGAGGTAGGCTGTGCCCTCGCAGCCGACAGAGGTCCATGGTGGAGCAAATATCCACCTGCAACACACAGAGGACCCCACACCAGAAAAGGTGGAGGCCCAAAGGAGGCTGTGACCTGGTGGGAAACCTGCACTGGAGCAGGCTCCTGGCAGCACTTGTGATCCCATGGGAAGCCTGCACTGGAGCAATCTGTTCCTCAAGGACTGCACCTTATGGGAAGGACTCATGCTGGAGCAATTTGGGAAGAACTGCAGCCCATGGGGAAGGACTCAAGTTGGATAAGTTCATGGAGGACTGTCTCCTGTGGGAGTGCCCCCACACTGGTGCAGGGCAAGTGTGTGAGGAGTCCTCCCCCTGGGGAGAAAGGAGAGGCAGAGACAACATGTGATGAACTGACTGCAACCCCTATTCCTCATCCCCCTGCACTGAGGAGGAGGAGGTAGAAAAATCAGTGTCTCGTTAACCTACTCTGATTTGACTAGTAACAAATTACACTGATTTTTCCCCCTGACTCTGTTTTGCCCATGACCATAATTAGTGAGTGAAAGCTCCCTGTCCTTGCCTCAATCCATGAGCTTTTTGTTCTGTTATCTCCTCCCCATTCCACAAGGGAGAAAGACTGAGCAAGCAGCCATGTAATGCTCAGTCACAGGCTGGGCCTAAACCACGATAAATCATACTCCAGAAAACCAAGAACTGCAATGTTACTTCAAAGGAGAGAGGTGAAGCAAGGCTATGAGGAAGAAATTAAACAGCTAGGGAACTCACAGAATTAAAAAATCACTCACCTAGATTTGGCCATTAATATTCCCAGCCTCTGTTGCAGCATCAGGGCTTCTGTCATACTCAAAGTGTCATGTTGTCTTGTCACAGAACTAGTAATTTGACCTAGAACTAGAAGAGTATATAAACATGTATTTTTTCTTGTTTTTAAGATGCCTGTTAGTAAACTAACAGACATACTACTTTTTTTTTTTTTAGCCGTATTATGTCAAGTGAGGTCTTCATGGCTAGGATGCATCTTAAATGGAGTTTTAGACAAGAGACTGGTCTCTTAGAGCTTCCCCAACATTTCAGTGCCTAGCTGGTGTCACAATGGGGGACTCCACTCATACTCCACTCTTTGCACAATTTACTGTGTGGAAATTACAGATGTGAAGCTGCCATTATCCTTAGCACATACTGTACCACACCATAGCAGACAAACAGAACTACTCTTGCTTAACTCCCTCTTGCTTATCCTACCAAACATATACAAATGCTGACTTGTATGGCTAACACATCACCCTTTCTCCACTTCCCTCATGACGTGCTCCATTATATTAACCATGAATTGCTTGCTTTCACTTCACCCCCCTATTCCATGGATTACTTTCATACTAGCTATCCACTTGCATTTATCACTAAAATCTCAACTGCTGCTTCCATTAGGCTAACAGTTGGCAGGCTCCATTCTCTGTAAAACTGCCAAACAAGTACTTGATGTTTCCTTTGACACTGCTTCATAAACACAAATGAAGAGCTAAATTCGCAGTAAAATACTTTATCATTAGCCTTTCTTATCTGCCTTTCAGGTTGTCTTTGCAAAATTGTTGGAGACCACTGGCAACTCTGCTTATAAATGTAGCCACAATTCTTTGTATTTATCTGCTGTCCTCTGCCTTGCACTTGAATTAAAAGCATTTTGGAAACTCAAAGCATTCTTTTGCATAGTATCGAGTCTAAGGTAGTCCCAAACTCATCTCAGGTTCTTAGGGGATAACAATTGCAGAACACACTGTGGAGGGACTGTGCAAAAGAACAGCAGAAATTCAATACTGGCAAATGCAAAATAACACAACTAGCAAAGGAGCTCTACCTGTTAGGTAATATCAGTCAATGCAGTTCAATGAAAACACTAGCTCAAAAGCTATCATAAAGCAAAGGAAACAGAATTATTTAAAAAGAACTAAAAGAATGACAACAAAAATATAAGTCTACTGCATTAATCCACAGTACAGCCACAGATGTAGCAATGAGTAAAACCAGAAATTAACTATTTGGACTACTCAGCTTGGAAAAAGGGACCACAAAAGAAAGAAAAAAGGAATACAGAATTATAGGTGACATGGAGAAGATAAATAAAGCACAAGTATTTTCCAAACGCAAGAATCAGGGAGCCGCAGTTGACATTAAGGAGCAGGTTCAAAACAACTACACAAAAGTAATTTTTGTACATAGTATTTAGTTAAGCTTTGTGATCCACAATATATTTTGGGAAAAAATTGTTGCAAAAATCTAAAGACTCAGAAAATAATTTGACAATTGCAAGCTCCATTAAGAGCTTTTTAACTCAAGGATGTTATATCTAGCTCAAAAAGTCTCTAAGCCGCAGATATTTAGAAGGGTCTTAGGGAATGATCATAAAGTGCTCCTTCTTACTGTTCCCTTCCCTATATATTTACTATTGCCTGTTAGCATTTATCATTTACTGTTATTAATAGGATACTGGATAAGCGGATACTTAAGTCTGATCCAGTAAGGCCATTCTAGTTAACATAAAAGAATGACATAGACTCAGCACAATTTTTTTAATGCACTGTCATAAGACATTAAAGAAATAAATTATTAACAACTTGTATTTAACTTCAAACCAAAACGTAGATTTAACAAAGGTACAGAAACATAAACTTGTTCATACATCTGCATACACATACTAAACATAAAGATCCTCTGCTGTGCATAAGCGCAGGAAGTCACATACCCTTCCTCTAATTTATTTGCCCTTTAGCCACAAGCCTTCTCAGTCTTAGCCAAAACTGTACACACCTATATGCAAATCTATCTGTATGCAACACGCACAGGCTCTGGTTTTGTGACGGCCCTACCCAATCTAGCTGATATTATTTAACTATGTTTTTTGATCAGGTTAGATTTGTGTTGGCTTAGCACACCAAACGAGCTCAGTAGAAAGTTTCACAGGTGCCAGAGCTAGCTGGGGACAGAATCCTTAGGTCACCTCTGCTCACTTTTCAGTAAGCTTAGCCCTTTCACTAATTACTGGCATTTACTTAGTTTACCAAATTCCCTGACCTGTCCACTCTGGTGGAATCTAACATGCAGTCATTAGAAAAATAATAAAAATTAAAAATTTTACAGGCAAGCTACACTAATGCAGGTTTAATGTGACTCAACAGACTATCTTGTTTAAGTTACCTAAGAATGATTTTTCAATTATCTGTTAAACAGAGTTTTTAATGGATAAAAGAAAGGTCAAAGATTTACAGCACCTAACTTCTTTTAAATGTAAAGCAATAACAAAATTATCCAACCAGTTGTTTCCAATTACAAGTTGGCTATTTACTTTGTTTGGGATTTTGTCAAATCTTCCCTGATTGCAAAATATTTACCCAAACTTAAAACATACAAGGAGAAGTAGAGATTTTCACAGTCACAACCCTAAAAGTTAATCTTTTCCGTTATGTCTACAATGTCAAATTTAGGAGCTGTAATTTCCCATTCATGAAGCATCAGAATTGGCTGGGTGCAGTCATGCAAGGAAGGAGAAGGGGACAGAGTATTTTCTGCTTCTCCCGAACACATTCATTATTGCACTGCATGGTAAAAATCTCAAGCAAGATAAACCAGGACCAGCACTTACCTATACCTTGTTAACAGGGGTGAAAGTCAGAAGTGCCAGAACCTTAGTAAGAGTTATTACTTTGCTTTATAAAGTAAAACAAGTTTCTTTCCCACATAGACTAAGCAGTGGCAGTAAGTTATGCAAATCTCTCAAAATTCAATGAAAATAAGGCATCAGTGTAAATACAGTAAGTATTACTTTTTTTTCCCTTTTTCTTTTTTAAAGTCACAGTCAAAAGCTTGTAGACATTCTAAGATTTTCGATTCTGTTGTCTGCTGGGGTTGGGAATGGTCTGAGCAACACGTGTGTTCCCCTTGTGTAAGAAAGGCCACATGGACAAGCTGCAATCGTACTCTCCCTTTCACTCATGATAACTGGCCATCTCATTAAAATCAGCTCACGATTGCAAATCCAGTCTAAAAACTGGCATTAACTTAGTTCTGCATGCTCTGGTTGCAGAATCAAACATTAACTTTGGGTGATATTTTCTGTACACATTAATTCCTAGCACACACCTTGTAAAAATTAAGAAAGGAAAAGCAAGCCTCAGGAGAGGTAGGGAGAAGCAAAGGTGCCTTGTCTATAAACCAATATGCTGCAAATATTATTTTAAAATGAAAAAGTGGCCTTTCAAACCAGTAGCTGCCACAATGCTAGGTCCTCTGTGTGTCTTGCTCTCAGGCCTGCAAGCAGGGATCAGAAAACATAACTAAAGTGCATTAACATAATTTTAATGCTTTTTATATCTCAAAATTGTAGTTTAACAAAAAAAAAAAAAAAAGTTGACTAGAACATTTTCCTTCTTCAGAAATTTTAATACCTGGGAAGCCCATCGGATACAATGGAGTAGCTGAAGAAAGGTGCCCATGTACAGGTTGTCAGCACTCTGGCTGACAAGCATTTGAACCTATTCCTCCACATATTATAAAGCACTTAGTAATATTCTGATCATAGCTAAGTCATTTTTGCCTAGAGCATTTTAAATCACCCAACTTAGGAGACTACATCTACTTTTAAAAATAAAGTGTCAGCATTTAAACATTAAACTCTGCCACTTCCTAAAATACATTTCTCAACCTGATTTCCATAACCATTGTAAAGTGTTAGACATAGTTGACCTTAACTTGAAACATGTTAGCCATAGTAAATTCATACCAAGACTGAAATAAATAATTATCATTCCAAAAGCTCAGAAATAAGTCCTTCTAGGATTTTTCAGCTGCACCAGCACAGTAATACTTGAGTATTTCAGAACTACAGAACTGGGTTCTCACAGCTGTTTACTATCAAAGAACAAACAAGAACATTATATTCAATTTTAAGTTTTATCGATACACTCTTTAAATGCAAGCTATATGGATGGTTTCAACACCTGCTTCTTTCTTCATAATTAACGCCCAGATCAATTAAGGAGACAAACAAACAAGAAAATGAAAGTGAGCTGTACTTGACAGCTTCAAGAGAAATCCTTAAGTTTTTTTAAAAGGAAAAGCTCAATATTTGGAAGGAGAGTGGAGGGAACAAAATGTAGTGGTTTTCATTTGCTAATGTTGTCACCTCTTATAAAATTCCTTAAAAATAAATATTTTTCTCCTAAAAAATGTTACTTAAGGTAGCCAACACTTAAACACTTTGATACTTTGAGATACCCATCACATTTCTGGATTTTGCCTCTTACAACTCCTTTTTTGTTTTCTACTTCATCTGGGGTAAAATTTTTAAAAATCAAATTAAATAAATAAATACGTAAACCACGAAAAACCATAAAGCCTTCGCTTGAAGGAGAAAGGTGCAAAGGAAAAACTAGGGAGCACAGAGGAAAGGTTTTTATTACAGTAAACACCAGATTCATCTTGCATTTTAGGTCATTAACCTAAATGCTGTCAATCAATGTCATAGCTCCATAGAGACTGACCTGAGTGTAAGAAAGAGAGTCCAAATTTTTGGTTTTCTAAATTGCATCTAAACTAGACACTAGGAGTAGAGATCACAAATAATTTACTAGACAACTGAACACACTGAAATAGGAAAAACTAAGTTTATAATTTCCTGTCAAATTTCAAAATTCAAGGCCCCCAAGTGTTTGGATGTTTACATTTGTACAGAGATTCAGACAAGCATCTCCAATTCAGGGCAGGTATTACAGCGACCATCAGTACACCTGCCCAGCACATGCTGCAAGACTGATCTCTCACATGCTAAGTACTTGGTGACAGAGATGACCTGTTTGAAACAAGAAATCTAATTTCATTACAGTTGGTCAAGTGGCTTC